TGTTCCCCAAATCTGCTCTAACTCCAGGAGAATGATAGAAACAAGCTACTGAGTAAAAGCAGGAGTGCAAATCTCACCTCTTCATTGTAATCACAGTTAACCACAGCGTACTGTGAACAGAGGAAAAAAGAAAAATGAAAAAGCACTTCACATTTAGTGTCTTACTTCCTATCAATCTTAGAGGCGCCTTCAAATCTGAAACAGCTGACTCCGTAGAAACCATGTAAAACCTAGCTGTTGACTCATGAAATTCAAGAATTAAATCACAGACAAAAAGTTGAAAGTTGGAAGAGCATTTATTGGAAATAGGAAGAAAAACAGCTCCTGACTGGGAGGGGTCCCAAACAGGTCGCCAGAATGATGTTCCATCCTGAGCCTTTCATGGGAATTTGCTCAGCTGTCCAGCAGCTACCTGCTTCATGGATTTTAAAATGAACCATTAGAAATGGGGCTGTCTAAACCAGTTACTCAGTATCTTGAGTTTAAAGGAAAACAATTTTAAAGGAAACCTGGTTATTTGGTATGTTTAAGTTTTTTGTTTTTTGTTTGTTTTTTTGTTTTTTCCAAACTTGGCACTGAGTGCAAGGAGCAGTTCAAACAGGAAACAGAAAATCTGGTTTTCGCTGAGGATTTAGCTAAGTGGTTCTGCTGCCTGCCTCACAAGTGCAAGGACCTGAGTTCTATACCTGGTACCAAAAGAAAAAAAGAGAGAGAGAGAGAGAGAGAGAGAGAGAGAGAGGAGAAGGGAATGCAAAAAGAATTAAAATGTGTTCTGTGTACCAGCTCCCTATGGTGAATATAATCATTATTTTTTTTAAAAAGTCTCTTTTCTATAAAATGGAATACTATTCAGCCATAAAGAATGAGAAATTAGAGTTATTCATAGGAAAATGGATATATATTCAGGATATACTGCTAAGTGAAATAAATAAGTCACACATGTGTAAATACCAAATAGTTTCTCTGGTGTGAAAAGCTATAATAGTACATAAGATCCTAATGGGATAACTGACCATGTGAAATAGGAAGAAAAGGACTAAAGGTGTAGGGGAAAGTGGGAAGGGTAGGGGAAAGGTAATAAGGGAAAAGAAAAACATATGAGAAGTTGAAAAAATGGAAATAAAGTGTTTGTAAATGGGGAAGGGAGGAGGGGTGAGGGGAAGGCAGGGACAAGGGGGAAAAATGAAAACCAAGACCTGTCATGTAAAGGTACAAGATCCCAATAATGAACATAACTGTATTGTATACCTAGATTGTACCAATAAACTCAATAAAAAGAATGAAAAGAAAATCAGGTTGTTATCAAGATACATTACTTCCACAAATCTAAAACAGATTTCATAAGTATTATGATAAGCATTCATTATCCCTAGACTACCCTATATAACCACGAAATGTAATTACAGGATGGTAATTATTCAAATACATATGGTCATACAGGTAGCTAAAAGGCAAATGGCAATGTAAAGATAAGAAAATTGAAATATAATAAAGATAATTAAGGTAGCTCCTAAATTCTCCACAGCTCAGGGGCAGAAAACAATGCTGAAATAAATACCTGGCCTTTACAGCTAAATCAGCAATCATTTTATCTATACTCTGTTCTCTCTTATTCCTGAAAGATTTGCTTGTGGAATTATACAACTAATTCCTAACTCAGGCTACTATTGCCTACTGCTCTAGACTCTTCTGATCTCATTCTTGGCTTATGAAAGTAGACTCTGGAATAATTCATAGACTCTAGCGTCTCTACATCAAAGAATATTTCGTACTCTAAAATCAGTATTTCTAAAGCATCCATGTGATTCAGAATATAGTTCAAGCCTCTTACTTGGGGGGATCAAAATTCACCACAAACCAACTTCATATTCATTGTCAGGCCTTGTCTATGACTTGATTCAACAGGAGCGCTCAGTGTGGGGCAGTTTCTTTACTCTGTTGTAGAAAATCACAAGATCGGTCCTTCTCTTTGCACATTGTTTTTCATTTTTATGACCAACCCTCTCTCATTCTATCCTTCAAAACGTGTTCATTCAGCCCACCTTCTTCTCTCCCATGAGTCTCACTATACAATGTACTAACTAAAGCGCTTCTTTAGCTCTTGGTATAGTGTAGCCTTACTGGCTGCTCTCCATATAATTACCTGCTCCTCTTAGATCAGCCGTGGTGAACATACGGCATGCATGGTACTTGTTTTTCTTTGAAGACAAAAGATGTTAGTGTATGAGTTTTTTATATATAAACTAAACCCTCAGTATTCAGATAATTGAGTGTTGGCACTTGAGACAAATGAGCGGTTTGGGGTTAGTGTTCAGGCCCCCATCTCTACAAGGCCACCACCAGTCATAGACTGCACACTCCTGGAGGCAGGGCCGAGACTAACTCACCTCACATTTCCCCCTGTATCTTCCAAAGTGCATCTCTCATACTTGCTCATTATTTGACAAAAACTTTCCTGACAAAACAGAGTGTGACCATTCAGTATTATGGTAATGTAAGCATAAGTTCAAACACACTTGGGTTCACAATGTTCTCCTCTATTAGAGGTTAGGAGTGTGCGATGCAGAGCTGGGGCTGGTGATTTGGGAATATCTGCAGATCAGCGCCTCGGTGGTATGAAGGATAATAAATGAACTGAGTTTTACTTAAGTAAATTTCATTTACACTAATATTAACTGACTTTAATCTGAAGAAGAAATTTTACATACAGTTTAGATCCACAATTCTGATACTAAAACAAGATGGTATATACATGTTGCAATGATGTATTCACCAAGAAATCAGATGAAGGAAATAAAACAAAGCTATAATATATTGAGCTCATATTATTCAGAATTTCAAACAGAAATTTATCACAAATCTAAGGATAAAAAGACTCAAGTAAAAACTGGAAAGTCTCACTATGAGGCTAACAAAACAAAATCAACTCTATATGTTCTCTTTTTATTCTGTTTAGTAAAATTAAATTGTAAAAGGGTAGAATTCTAAGTATATTTATTACAGAATGATACTTACATATTCAGAGTTAGAGAGATAAAGACATATGGCTTTGAGGGCAAGCGGGAGGCAGTATTGGCAAGTTTTGAAAAGTTGAATTAAAAATCTAACAGGTATGACAACGTGTGTGGTTTTTCATTGGAAATTTTATGGGCTCATATGTGGATATTTAACTTTAACACAAAGCAGAATTAATAAACAATCATTTGAAATAGTAGCACATTGTTTTAGAAAAAAAGAGTAGATACAATTGGAGAAACGAGGGAAATCTTCATGAGGAGATAATTTATTAAAGCAGAATTGCAAGGAGAAGAAGAATGTAGCAAAACTCCCACCTGAGGAACCTAATGAATAAAGGTGTGGAGTAAAGAAGGGCATGGCACTGGAGACGGTAGAGTGAGGCCAAAGTGATGGGTAGCAGAAGGGAACAGCAGGACCACAGGTTGGAAAAGGGCTTTGGAGCCAAATCCAAAACCACCTCACCAGCCGTGCTAAGGATCTTGAAGAACAGAATCAACAAAGTGTTCGGACGAGGCATGCAGAGAAAAGTGAACTTGGTTAGGCGAGGAAGATTCTAGTAATGGGGTAAAAATTAAATTTTAATGAGGTAGATATGGGACAGGGAGAGGTTTAAAAATTAGGAAGGAAAAACGAGGTGTGAAAACTGACTAGCAATTATATGGTGGGGGGAGAAAGAGAGAGAGATCAGGGGCTTGAATAGAAGGGTAAAGTAGCCAAAACTCACTGACCTGAGTTTCAGACACACTGACTGAAGTGTTTCCCACTTCCCACTAGAAAGACTAGCAGGCCGGGGACTTAGCTCAGTGGTTCTGCCGACTACCTTGCAAGTGCAAGGACCTGAGTTTGATCCCCCGTACCAAGAATGATTTTTTTAAAAAAAGGAAGAGAAAGACTAAGTGAGAAGGGCTAAGGGTGCATAAAAGTAAGTGCATTTTAAGACTAATGATGGGATTCTACAAAGTGTTTCTGATAGCTTGTGCACTGCTTCACTCTGATAGGAGCTGCCCCAGTCAGGACTTGAAATTTATCTTCCTTCAAGTTGAAAAAAGATGACATTTTTTCTTCGTGAAGGATAATATGATAATTTTGATAGATATCACTGGGAAATGTTTAATTTTCACTGACTTGTTATCAGCATAATGACTAACGTAAACCTTGGGTAATGGTGTTTTGATACATTCAGGATTGAGCTATTGATACCTATCTTTAAGTATCAAGTAAGGATGGATATCAGAACTAAGATATATTTATACAAGTCCAGCACATAAGGCAACCTTCTTTCAGAAATATATTTATCAGGGCCAGGGATTTGGTTCAGTGGTTCTGCTGCCTGCCTTGCAAGCGCAAGAGCCTGAGTTCAATCCCTGGCACCAAATAGAGATAGATAGATAGATAGATAGATAGATAGATAGATAGAATAGATAGATAGAATATATATATATTTATCAAATATCTGTGATTCAAAATTAAATGAACTAGTTCATGTTGTCAGTAAGCTGTACTACAGATTACCTAATAGTTATCTATGATTGCTTCATATATTAATAATGAAATGAATAAATTAGAAATAAAGAGATGAAAAGAAAGAAAAAAAATCCTAGCATGTCAGAAACAAACTATAGCCTTATCCAACGTAAAAGGGTATTCTTTAATTTAGTTTTGTCAGTTATTTTTATCAATTGAAAGAAAAATGAAAATTAAATTGGTTTATCAATGAAATACAAATTCAGAGGTGCAAAGTTGAAACTGAGACATTAGGAATTACACTGATGGTTTTTACTACTTCTGTTCTCATGTAGTGCACATAGAATAATATTCTAATTTTCTGCATGCACGCTCTTTGTATTACTAAGGAATTTAGTACCTGATCCCTGAAAACAAGTAAATTAGCAGATGCTCTTATGAAAATAGCATTTTTAAAATGTTTCCTACAGTCTGTATTTTCAAGCATTGAAAAACTGTATACCTTCAAGAAACTTTTAAAATATCACTTCATTTTAGTGTACAAACAAACATGCACGTGTATATGTTTGTGTGTTTCTATGTAAAATGTCAGCTACAACCAAGACATTTTTAGTTGGGAAAATTTTTTAGGCCTTGTGTGGTGTTTCAGTTTAAATTCATAAAAATTTCCAAAGGTATGCTTGAAAGCTTTTAATGTACTTTATCTGTATCCCTGCAGATCTTCATAAACAATGAATGGCATAATTCAGTGAGTGGCAAGAAATTTCCGGTCATTAATCCTGCAACGGAAGAGATAATTTGTGAGGTAGAAGAAGGAGATAAAGTGAGTTATTGAATTCTAGCTCTGTTTTATGTCAGGTTCCTCTGATTCTCACCATTCTGAGCTCCCAAACCCCACTGAAAATTCAATAAATGCCTTGAACGCATGGATCTTGGTGCAGACTTAGCTCATGAAGGGCCCTTGGTCATCAGGTAATGATGATGGCTGCTATGGTCGAGGTATTGTAGTTATTTCTTTTCATGTAGTTTTCCAATGGAATAATGTGTAATAGATTTATTATACAAACAGAGTTTATAGAAAAGTTCTAATCACATTTGAAAGAGGAAAGAAAACCTTTATTTGTATAAAACCATTATTTTTTTTAACTCGCTATATGAATTTTTAAATTTATATATGATTTTTAGACAATTTATTTTAGGCAATATACTGCCAAGAGATTTTATTAAAAATCATTGTTAATATTAATGAATACATTTAAAATAACAAGTTGAATGACTAGTTAATATATATAGTTACATTCCAGCCGAAGTACTGAGACAATTCTTATTTCTTTTTGTTTTTTTTTGGTATGGGGGATCAAACTTGGGTCCTTGCACTTGCGAGGCAGGGAGCAGAACCACTGATCTAAATCCCGGGCCCAATTCTTCTTATTTCTAAATGCTGTATTAATTTAATACTTAAAGAAACCTTAAGAGGAAGATATTATTTTAGCTGTATTTATAAATAATGATAAAATAGCAGATCAGAAAGGTTGAATACTTTACTTAATATTATATAGGTGGGCAGGGGATGTAACTCAGCGGCACTCCAGTTGCCTGGCAAGTGCAAGGTCCTGAGTTCCACTCTGGTACATGAAAGAAAAGAGGAACTTATTGCTAATAAAATCTTTCCAAGTGTCAGGCGCATGAAGCCCCAGTTATTATGGGCTTCTTCCAAGCCTTCTCGAATCTTCCCAGATAAGGCTGTTTGTTTTGTTTTTTCTATGTGGTTGTGGAACATTGTATTTGACTATAACCCTGGCATTGCAAGGCCATAAGTCCAGGATCTTATAATTTACTTAGTCACAGCAGACCTAGTGTTCTGGAACTGACCCTAAATAATGAGCCAAAAGCTTTGGGGATTTAATGTGAATAGAAAGGAACTAGCAATGACTTGCAGTGGTAACACAAAGAAGGGATGAAGGGCCGAAACAAATGCAGTTCACAGAAGTTCAGATATGGGTGGGAACTGTTTCCGCATCAGTGGTTCTGTGAGGCTGTAGTGACTAATCCTGAAAACTGCTTCTACTGCATGACTTAACAAATAGTTGGGGATAAAAGCAAATGTACATCAAAGTCAGTGTTTATGACAAGAGTAAAAGATCTGATAACTATTTTCTTCATCTGTGAATAAATACGCAAATGTACGATGTGGGAGTGGCTGAAGCGTTCACTCTCTCCTTACCAGTGCTTAGGAGGAATTTGAGAGCCTATCTTTCAAATTGTCTACATACTCAGCAAGTGGGTCTTTACTTAAAAAATTTTAAATGTTGTATGCACGCTTGTTACTACTGCTACCACATCTGAGTTAATGTACCAAATTGTTTTTAGGCTAATTAAAAAATTATATCTCTAATAAAGCTAATCTTTGAATAAAAATGGTAGCTCTGAAATAAAAAAAAAAAGAAGCAAGCAAACAATCAACAATGAAAACAACAACATTTTAAGCCTAATGGCTTTTAATATAATAAAAGCTTTGTTGCACAATGGAATCACTTAAAAGTTCATTTATGATATAAATATCATGTAAGTTATATATGGATAAAATGATAGATTTAAAAGATAGCTGACCAAATTAGGAAACATTTATTAACTGCCATTTAGGCCTAGAATAAATAGAAATTAACTTTAATACAGATAGCAGTAAGTATTCCTTGCAAAGGAGACATTATCTGAATAACTCGGCAGAGCTATAAGAACTAGATTTGAGTCAGATCTGAGATCATATTTGGGCTCTACACTGCTGGATTTCATGTTCATGGGGTCTGCTCGCCTGGGAAACAAGGGCCATGCAATTCACTATGGTAACTTGGGGCCATAAAGATCGTGTCCCAGTGCCTTGAGCTGAGCAGGCTCTTAACAAATAGCTATCATCAAGCTGGATTAGTCCGGTGAGGAGTTAATGATGTTGGAATAATACTTGAGGCCTAAACATGTGTAGGATTTTGAAAACAAAGGACTGCGCTAGTAGAACATTCCTGGCCAGGGGAATCGCAGGGATGATAAGGAGCTGGGTGAAAAAGGGTAGTAAAAAAACACGAACACAAATATTGGACAGGAGAGATGAGCCCAAGAATATTGGACTTTGACGACCAAGCCTAGGAGTTTGGCCTTGGGACTGTAGAGAAAAAGGAACGGCTATAAGCTCTGAAAGAGAAAGTGATAAGACAAAATTATATGAAAAAGATTAACCTGGTAGCAATAGGCAACACAGGAGGAGCAGGCTGTCAGCAATGTAAAACAGCAAAACCCTGCGAGAGGAGCGATATGACCGGAACTATATTACAATGGATAAGAATTGCTGAGAGTTACAGTATTTTAATGTCACTTTGAATTCTAGGATTATAATATGAATTATAAGTATCCAGAAATATTTAATGTAATGTCTCTCATGTACAAAATGTATATCAGGGGTTACCTTACTTCATCTTCAACACGACCTTGTGAAGTCACTTACCTTGAATTTACAGATAAGAAAGCAGGACTTTAAAGACTGTGTCACAGCGTTTCACGTTAGAAGAGAGTAGACCCTCTGAGTCCACAATTCCTCCTCTGCAGATTCCACCAGCCCTGGTGATGTTGCTGACATGAACTATGAAATTCAGTCTACCCAAGAGGTGTCTAGACTGAATGTGAGCAAATATATTTTCTTATCATCATTCTTGAAACAATATAACATAACTGCTATTTGCATAACATTTCTCTGATAGTAGGTATTATGAGCAATATAGAGATGATTTAAAGAATGTGTGAAAATGTATGTAGGTTATTATGAAAACTCCATGTCAATTTAAATAAGAGACTTTATCAGTGTGGATTTAAGTTATCTGTAAGGTGGTCTATGGAATCAAATCCTCTTAGCTACTGTGGGATAATGGTTACTTGTGAAATATACGACAGTGGGGTGATGATTTGACTGTATGTGCCTCCCATTTGATTAAATATTTCAAAACATCAGTCCCTTCAATGTAGAATTATTCTATCAGCAGCAGACTGATGAGGAGAATGCTATATGTGGATTGTGTGTACCAGCTCTTCTGGACAGATGGTTGGATGGATTGATTAGGAGATGGTTGGATGCCTCAAAAATTATCTAACCAATAAGGAGGAATTTAAATACAAATCTCGGTTATCTTGTTCCAAACCTATAAATTCCCTACCATTGCTCTACTTACACTCCTATAAAATTAAACATCAGATGTGAGAGAAAGATGACATAATTCACCAGACACAGCACAAGAATATCTTTATTTCTAGCAGCATTCTCTAAGGAACTGTTTTTCACGTGCAGAGTACTTTGTCTCGCAGCCAGTTCCTCCGTATCCCTTTGGGGGGCCAGGACCCCTCTGAGAGCCCATGTCTGGCTAAGACCAGCGGCAGAACACCAAGCAGAAGGACTGAAATGAAAGCTGTGTCACACAGGTCTGTTTAAACGCAGAGCTGCGTGTGTCTGATGAGCTGTGGTGTTCACAGATCATGCTGGCGACTCAGGTCCTTATGGTTTGCTTCTCTGTCACTTTCCCTAAGCAGTGTTTAGTGAATTTAATTGGAAAATGGTAGAACTTAATGTCCAATTATAAACAATATGATTAATTCAATGCTCAAAATATACAGTCATTTGTCAGGTATGGCAAGTAATAGAGCCATATATATTTATTATATATTCATCATTCTCCTAAGTTTTATAGTTTTTTATAGTGAGATACACTAGTGTGATGAATTACTGTGAAGAATATTTGCTTGTAGTTTACATTACTTATTTAGACCAGATTATACCTCCAAAAAATCTCTTGTTCCAAATAACCTTAGTTTGGTTATAAATAGAGATGATCCACAATTTACAAAGGTCAACCCCCAATTTTTAACTTTAGTAAGATGCAAGTGCAATACACATTCAGTAGAAACCATACTTGGAATTTTAAATTTTGATTCCCCACCAGGCCAGCACTACTAAGCAGAACAATATCCTCCTTCAGTGCTGAGCGCCAACAGCAAACCACAGCTCCCAGCCAGCTACACGGCATTAACAAACTAAGTGAGACATCCAACGTTTTACTATAAGATAATCTTTAAGCATTCTGAGCACATCTAAGGCAGGTGAGGCTAAACCATGACTTTCATTACATCAGGAATATGAAATATATTTTTTAATTACACTATTTGCAACTTATCATGTGTTTATGGGGATGCAACCCAATCAAACATCAAGGACCACCTGTATTTAAAACTATTTTTATTTATCTGCACTTTAATTTTTAGACTTGTAAGTTGGAAGCTTCTTAATTGAATGCAGGCTAAAGTGGGGACATATTAATTTGAGGTCCAGAACTCTCCAAGAGGGAGGCTTCCTCATTAAATAAGATTCAGCTTAATTGTGAGCAACTTAAAAAAAAAGTGTCACTTCCTCCTGCTCACTCTAATTCTGAAACAGAATTACAGCTTCTGAAAACGTTGCAAACTACTGGCCTGTAGTGTGGTCCTAATTTGTGAAGTTCCACACAGTAGTCAGTCCTGTGCCAAAAACTAGGAAGGTGAGAGGAATGTTGGAATTTAATGCACTTGCAATTTATTTGTGGGAAAACAAACATATGAAGTAGTAATGTAAGGATGGTGATATTGATTGCAGGTATATTTGTGGGAAATTAGAAAGGGTCGGTACAAGGAAACGTAAGGGAATGAAATAACCAAGGATGATTAGGAAAAAACTAGAGTAGTAGATTTGGTTTAGAAAAACGCAACAGAGAACATCACGAGGGAAGGCAACTTGAGTGCAGGGATTGAGTCAAATTATGAAAGGAATAGAAAGTATGGTAAAGAGCAAGGTAGCCATTGTTAGCGCACCTCCATTCAAACTCAGTTCATTTAGTTCCTGACCTTGAGCAAATCTTACTCTCTTATCCTCTGTTAAATGGAAAACATCTTAATTCCATGAAATGGTTGAGAATTAAATGAGTTAACATATGTAAAGTTATTAGAACATTACCCAAAATATGGTAAATGCTCAGATATTAGTAAACTACTGAAATGTTGTTAACATTTGTAATCTAGGAAATCAAGCCCATGTCACGTGTGAGGAGCTCACCCATCTAAAGAATATCAGCAGGTGTCAGTCCTACCTACTGTAGTTGAATATGTAGAATGTGCTAGACTTGGAGCTAATGGAGACACAGTGTGTGTTCATGAGTAACCACAGTCTGTTCTAAAGGATTATTCCCATTGGATTTGCTCTGCGCATGTGTTGAGCGTATTGAATTGAATTCCCTCCGACTTACAGGCAGATGTTGAGAAAGCAGTGAAGGCCGCAAGACAGGCCTTTCAGATCGGCTCTCCATGGCGTACTCTGGATGCTTCAGAGAGGGGTCGCCTCCTGTACAAGCTGGCTGACTTAACTGAAAGAGATCGACTGCTGCTGGCAGTGAGTATAAGGAACCCGGATGCACAGATCCAAGGCATTCGCTGTTTGAATTGGCAACTTGATTGGTTTTAGTGAGCGCTACAAGCACACGCTATGAAAAACAGAAAAAACTTCATCTCCAGCTAACAGATGGGACTGTTACCCCTGGGGGTTGTTCTCTCATAGTCACCTGCTTGCTAGTTCTGGGTGATGTTAACTTCTGCTCCCGTAACTGATTGTACAGGATAGGAATTGGCAATTTCTCAGTTAAGCCAAATTAAAGAAATTTCTTTCCTTTACTCTAGAGTTTAAACAAGCTAACATGGTAGCACACAGAGCCTTCAACAGAGTAACATGTGTGAATCTTCTAGAATATTGTACTAGGTCTCTCAAAGTTACCTGTCCCTGAACTCCTACTAGAATTCTTTGTTGAACGACTTTGTTGAAGGTATTCAAAATAACATAAATTTTATTTCTTCTCAGTTCCATAATTGAAAATACTGCTAAAGAAAATTCTTAGATGAAAGGCTCAGATGTTTTGCTTGTGTAAATAGATTGGCTATATTCATCTGAAATCCAAAAATTAAAATGACTTTTTGGATACAGAATCTATGTAATCTTTGTAGTGATCCTCCTGCTTCGGCCCCTAGAGTGCCAAAAGTGATTATTGAAATATCCTTAAAAATCACTACCACTAAATTGTCTCCATGGTAAAATCTTATTACAGTTCTGATCTGATCATGGAGACTCCACAATTCTCTCACCAGTGGGATGTTTCAAATTGTGATCAAGTCTTCAAGTGTTAGTTAGCAGAGAGCACTCAAATAGGACAGAAAGAGCCCTCAGGTTAAGCAGGTGGAATCTCTTACCCATTTTACCTAGATCATGCAATGTGACCATATATATACATGCTATTTTAACTATTTTAGAATCTTTTTTTAAAGATAAAATTAGTCAAGATTATTTAAAATTTATTATGTGTCTTAAAATTTTCTAGTGCATACTCAGCATCTTCATCATATATATTTTCATCTAAAATTCTTCTGAAATTTTAAATTTAGAGAACAATCTGTTTTTCAGACAATGGAGGCAATAAATGCTGGACAATTATTTTCTACTGCGTATATGACGGATGTAGAAATCTCTATAAGAGTATTACGCTACTTTGCAGGCTGGGCTGACAAGATCCAGGGCCGCACCATACCTGTAGGTAAGGAGCAGTGGGAGACCTCCGGGACAGAGTCAGGTGTGTGGCAATTACTACAGAGCTGAATAATTTCTAACTTTCCCTCCTGAAGAGGCCAGCCAAACAAAGCAAAATTATTTTCCCCTGAAGTTAAGCCAACACAATTCTGAACTTGGGAATTCTGTGAAGATTCAACAAATGATTTTTAACATTGTTTCAGCATAATCAGGCAGAATATAATACCATGAATATTTTAGAAACTGTTAAAGTAGAAACATTCTTAGGCTATAATTACTGATTGGAGGCAGCTATCTAAGGGCCAAACTCAACAAAGCTTCCCTCTGACATTAATTATTTTGGGCTTCATTTCCATTGTGACATTTATACCTTTTCCATAATGTAATCAAAGCCTCTTTGCATGCTCCGCTATGAGACAACTGTGGTTATTTGGAACCGTTCAAACTCAGTACAGTTAGACCAGAATCACTGAACTAATTCATATCATTTGTTTCAAATAGCTTCAAAACAACCTGAGGCTGTGCTTATAGCCTGAGATACAAATTTGTATATACAAGTGTGCATGTGTGTGTTATTTCTGTGATATATTAACATAAAAAATAGAAATATAAAAATATTTTATATGAAGAAGCATCAATAGGGGAAATAGTAAGGGTGAAATTTAACTTATAAAAATGTGTTAACTTTACCAATTAGAACTGTCCGTAACATGCATCTGTACTCTAATTGGAGCATCCGGTAAGTTACAAGTGGTAGAAAGTAAAAAGAGGGGAATGAGACCACAGATTCCAAGAAATGTTGGTATTTTAGTCGCCATATTTGCCTTCAGACCAGATGGAAAAAGCCATTTAAAGTACATATGGTCTTCAGAAAGCCAAGCCTTGCTGTGACAGCCAGGGGCCTCCCGTGGGGACTGAAATACAAGCAACAATGATACTCTCAGGATGACCACATCACACTCGGAAACATGTCAATCAGTCAGCTCTGGACAGAAAAGAATTGTCCTTTACATTGGCCATTTCTTAGCTGGATGTGCAGAGCTTGCTTTTGGTTTAGTAAACAAAGGAAAACAACACTTCAGAGCAAGTCAACAGTAAGACTCATTCCTTCTAGAAAGACAGTTTTAATTTTAGTATTTTAAAAATTATATTACTTTTTAAAAGGATTAAATTATTGGTAAAACTTTGAGCTGCCAAAAATACATTTGAATATGATTCTTATTTTAGCTAGATATGATCCTACCTCCTTTCCCTTTGTTGTCCTATACAACCTTGAGAATAACAATATTATGGAAAACATCTCTCCCTAATGACAAAGAGCGGAATTATCCTTCAGTTCCTTTCTAATTTTGCATATTTTCCTTTATTTGATTCAGTTTTATGGCACTATCATTCCAAATTCCTATTTCAGTGCTCCCATTTCTTTTCTGTAAGTTACGATATGCATTCTTTTCTATGTCTAATTGCTGTTTTAGTCTTCCTCTCTCATCAGTTTCAAACCTCTATCCTGCAAATGTCAAGTACCTCAGTTCTCTATAGGGCTGGGTGTGTGCTTTCTTTTCCAGATGGAGACTTCTTCACTTATACAAGACGTGAACCTATTGGTGTATGTGGCCAAATCATTCCTGTAAGTTGCTCTCCTGTACGATTAAGAAAGAAAACCTAACTCTAATTTGGCAACAAAATTTCTCCACAACAAATGGATGCTTGCTTACTGGTTAAATGTGATGTGAATTTCAACAAGTAGGACTTTCAAAACTAGTCTTCCTGTGACCGAATTTCTGGGATATAATTGAAGGAATACTGAAATCTAGCTATACACTGACATTATCTCTTGAGTGTGTTTCGATATCCCTGCAACAAAACCCTAACCTTTTCCTCTAAGAGTTGTTTTCAAAAAACGTGCCTTATGCATTATTGTTAGGAGCCCCGCTTTGAGAGACGTGACAGAGAGGACTGGGCTTCTCTGCTGTGGGACAGCCCTTCCAGGGAATGTGCTGGGCAGACTACTCCACCACTCTGTCTCCTCTGACACTTCTCATCGGAGGCTCAGTAGCGATAAAAGCGTTCAATTCCTGGCAGACATTTTTATTTTTGGTTGGTACGTGCTGGCAGACCACAGTGATTACATTCCTTCTGGAAAGTGGGTACATATACATAGTGTGATTGACTCTTTTTATCCCCTCCTCTCCCTTCCCCACAGCCTCCGTCTCTTGGTCTCCTTCCCTTTGGCAAAGATCTATTTAT